TCCTGGCAGGTATAGTACTCGAGTAAGTCTGTCTGATTTCTGTCCTAGTGTGCTGTACAATGACCCTTCGCAGAGTGAAGTGGCGACGAGTATCATGTTTTGTGCCGCCAGCACGCTATCCCTCCATTTCGCAGGAAGCATGTGTAGCAATAGGCTAGTCGCAACGACTCATGCTGACCACCACTAACATCTGGCTGCAGGCATCAGTGCTCTCACAAAACCTCATGCTCTCCATACACATCATCTAACGGCGAAATTCGAAACTTCTGTACCTGTGATGACCTCCCTTTTGTCAGCTACCCAGCTTGTTAAACCAGAGTGGTTGAATGAACTCATACGTCTTGGTGACACGCCGGATGAAAGCAACCCCTTCAGCTGTTCTGCCCTCGAGCAAGCCTTCCACCCGCCCCTAGAAAACAAATATCGCCCCGTTTTCTCTCCGAGCCTACCTACTCCTCTGAAGTTGTTCAAGGTCTGGGAACCAAACGAAGAACGTATCAATATACTGCGAGGATATAGATTCGTACTCGTAGCCGAAAGGGACGGCGAGGTGGACGGAGACTTGAGGGAATTAGTGGTGCGCGGAGGCGGGGAGTATGAGGGATTCAACATTCGATCGGGTCACGGGAAGTGGCGTCAGCTACTGGCTAAAGGGAAGCGGAAGGTGGAAGAGCTGGGTTCCATTGGCAAGGAGTTGATTATCGTTGCTGAAGATGCCAAGATGCAAGATGCTCTCGGATCCGCCAGCTGGAAAAATTTCGTTGCGGATGCCAAGAGGTCAGATGTTCTTTCCTTCCATAGTGTCTCACCTCACACTTGCTTTAGCCTTGGCTTGCACACTGTCAGTCAAAGTGCTCTCTTACAGACCGCAGTCCACGTTGACACGTCATATCTGGGTGGCGGTAACGATGCGCCGTCTCAAGGTTCGTGCGGTATATCGTTTTCTACCGATCTAGCGTTGGATGTTTCTGTTAGACTTGTCCCAGTTGCCCGACTTCATACCGAACACCCATCCGGATGAACCCTCTTTACTAGGCATGGCGCCAAAGGCGGCCGCAAAGAACCAGGACAGGCCGGCATCTCCGCCTCCTGACGATCCGCCTGAGCGCGCGCCTTCGCAGCCGTCGGATGAAGAATCGCCAGCACGTCCGCGAAGGGTACGCAGCAATTTAGTCAGCACACATTGACGATTAGCTCATTCTATCTAGCTTCTCACCCGTCGTGCGCACCTTGCGCGCCAGAATATCTTAGATGACTCTACGTCCATGGACGTTGTTCCCCGAGGGAATTCTGTGGAAGCCAAGGGGGAGTCTCCATCTGAGTCTCCCGAAGACCCTGTGTGTATCTAGTTTGATTTGTCGAGTGCACCTAATCTGACACTTACGCCCAGGCACCCGCCCGCCCTATGAGACTAAAAAGGCGAGCTGGGACAGCGGCACCCCGCACTGTCGAGCAAATGCTAATGATGGACGATCTTGAAACTGAAAGCGCTCAGGAACCTCCGCTCAAGAAATTCAAAGCGCTCTTCGATGCGAGCGATCCTGACAAAGGCCCTGACGGTGGCACCCAGAGCGTCGGGGCCGCGTATGACATTCCCATTGGCGGGAGCTCAGGGAATCCACCGGAGCTTCAGAGTGTCACGCAAAGTGACACTCTTCGAACTGGATCTGGCGCTACAAGGCGGCTGGATGTGGTCGCAGAGGAGGAAGAGGAAGGGACGGCACGCGATGGTGTTTCTTTGGCCTCGAAGCGCCGTGGGGCTACTTCTGCTGACGCTATCGAAAGCGCGATGGATGTTGATGCTCCTGGTGGCTCAACCCAGGCAGGGGCCAGAGCGAAGGTGCAAACCACGACCCGCGGCAAGTCTGTCCCACGCAGCACCTCTGTGCCCGCTTCCGAGCCCCCTGTGTCAAAGAACGCAACAAAGTCCAAGAAACCTCCTTCAACTCAGCACGTTGTCGACACCGACGACGCCTTCTTGACTGCCGTGGCTTCGACCAAGAGGGGGAAGAAGACGGAGGACAGCTTCGATCGCGAGTTCAACAACCTGCGTATTTCAAAACCTGATCTGCAAAGGGAGGAGCAAGAGGAGGCCTGGGAAGTCCTTGGAGACTTTGATGATGTGCGGAATATTAGAGGGAATTTTATGGTGATCCTGGATATGGATGTCTTCAAGGGTGCGGAAAATGCTCACGTGGGCGGAGGCAATCGAAACCCACTCTGGGACCATCGGCCTAACTTCAAGAAGTTCAAGAAGGTGGGTCTGCATACCTTCATTCACGTCTCGGATCTAATTGTGTCAACAGAAATCCGAAAGCAGTGCGCGGAAGCCGATTGAAGTCGTCGTCAACACAGAAAACGACTACGGGATGGGCTCTGGTGCGTACATTCGGAATCCTTGTTCAAATGCAAACGAGCAAACCCTATCCCATAGGTTACTGGAAGGATAACTCGCAGCCTTCCCAAACCAAGGCACCTGTGGCCAGCCAGAAAGCTAAGGCAGAATCGCGCCCTACTAAAGGCAAGCGGCGAGCGTTCACCGTAGCCGAATCCGATGACGAGGAAAACGTCGGAGACGACTCGATATTTGGAGGCGGAAGACAAACCTCTCGACCTCCTATTTCGACGTTCGAGGCCTCCGCAGATCGTCTTTTCCTGGACTCTGACGACGAGGATGAAAAGCCCGCCCGTCCTGACCCACCGATAAGCGAAGCTCTTGATGTGGAGGACAGCACACTCCCTCCATCCGGCCCATCGTTGACGCAAACTAAACGCGCACCTAAGAAGCGCCCCGTCATCGCAGATGATGAATCGGATGACGGTGCGACCTTTAAAGGATTTGGCAAGAAGCGGAGGAAAATAGGTCGTTGAGTAGTATGTTGGAAGTAGAACAACATAGTGGTAAACCACAGCAGGTATTATATAGTCTATATATGCGACGGCGCTTATCCATGAAGTCCGTAGGCAGTAATGTCCACTATAATGCGGCCAACTCCTCGTGGATCGAGAATCCTAGCAGACGCTGAGTCTTAGCGGCCTTCCGCCCTCCGGTTTGTCTGTAGCGTTGTGTCAGATGCTGTCCCAGGTGAAGTGATGGTACTATACCTCTGTTCTTGACACACAAAGCTTTCCGGGGCCCCTTCCCAATCATCCAAGATGTACTTGGTTGTGTTCCCTTGAGCCTCGTCGTCCTCTCCCGTTCCAAAGAGGTCTAATGCGAGCTGGGTATGACTGACACCAGCGTAAGTAGTCACACAACGAGGATTTACCAGTATACGCGCGGGCTGGTATACAGAGTTCGGTACAGCAAGGCGAACAGCGGGCAAAGAGTCCAAGGGCTGGTCCGAATCCGGCATCGCATCATAGTCAGAGCCTGCGTTGGCATCGGGATCTGTTGGCGGGAGCTGACGACGAGCAAGCGGCTGTTTCTCCTGCGCGTCAGGACGCAGTTGTTGGCGATCGTCTTCGGATTCATTCTCATGAACGCCTTCACGTGCTTTGCTGACCCACAGATCTCGACAGAACCAAGCTTGAGTGCTGTCAAGACATGGTGCATCAGGGGCCCTCTGCGGTACGCCTTCAGATAAGGAGGAATTGTGGAAATCCTCCCCAGCGCGGTATCTGATGCCTTTGTAATAGGATTGTGCGGGGTCGACGACGTGAGTTCCAGCTTCACAGCAAAACACCTGGAATGGTAAGTGCTTGACGTAGCGTGCTGCCCCTGTTTCGTCTCTAGGAGGGACGGCGTCGGGTTTCGAGGAAGACGTGGACTGTCGGAATTGGTCGCCATGTATATCACGCGTGCGCCATCTGGAAGAGTATCATTCAACGAACACCAACGCGAAGGATTTTGGGAGGTGAGACAGACCTATCCGAGAATATGAAGTGACCGCCTGATTCTGCCCAGTCCATTCCGCATACCATGGCAGCCTCGTTTGTGATGCTGACTCTGAGCGTCTCTAGTATATCGTTGGGGCAGGTAAATCCCTTGATCCATATAACGCGGTGGAATTTGATCTCGCGCTTCGAATATAGCTCAACCAGAGGTTCGAGCGCGAGATTTCTCATATAAGCCTCCTCCGAGGGGTAATATGCTGCGGCAGGGTCCTCAGTCATGCCTGGTACCCTGCGTATCCGGAAAGGAACGCCCAAAAGGGTAAGAACTGCTTCGCAGAGGTCCGTTAAGGTCGAAGTAGAATCCGTAGACTCGTAGTCGAGCATGGAGACGAACAGGTTCGAGGTGCCGAGGCGTTTCGCGAGTTGAACAATGACTGCGAGTTGATCCACTAGGAAGTGGTCTGCGGAGTGAATGGCTATGCCTATATAGTATAGGTGGTCCTCTTTGGCGAGGTCATCGTATGCATCCTCGTCTTCGTTCTTGTTTTGACCAAAGGGGCGAACAAGCGTCGGGCAATATGCGGCGACCCATCCGTTCAGAGATAATAGGTGTTCGATGGAGTTGAGGACATTCTGGACGTCTGTGTGGGCAGTCTCTGCTCCAGTAATACTATATCACAGATGAGACGGCTTTAGATTGCTTCAAGAGGATCGCTGGACTTGGAACTTACAAAGGTGCTTGGAATCGCTCCCAGTAGTCTCTGACACCGTTTCCAATGATGTCGGCAAATATGTCCTCCCTGTCGTCTCTTCCCATCCTTGTTTGCATAAACTTGTATTTTTGGACATTGAGAGATTTGTCGGTCCCAGTTACGCGCTCGAATACATTATGTTCTTGAAACTCTAAGACGGAAGGCGGATTCTGGGACGACGAACCAAAGATAATGCGAGCAATAAAAAACAGAGATAGAAGGAAGAAGAATTTTGTCAAGGTATGGCGTCTGAGAGACAGAGCCATGAAGAGATGGATCGCTGCAAGCCTGGAGACCCGATGAGGTCAAGCTATGGTCTAAGTAGTATAGACTGGGCCGTAGCTTGGGGGGCCCTCGGGTTTATGATTAATAATTAATGATATATAGCACAAGTACCTCTCCTGGCTATAGCCGACCTTAGCTCAGTTGGAAGAGCGCGAGACTGTAATGGGAACGATTGCTTGAATAATCTTGAGGTCGCCTGTTCGAGCCAGGCAGGTCGGATTTATTTTGCTACATGGTGAAATCGTTTTTATCAAGTCCAGCGCCCCTCATGATATTGTACTGGTTGATTGTTGGGAGAGAGTCTGGGAGATATTGCACGAGAAAGTGTCTTTGGGGATACCCGTGCCAGCCCCGGGCGCACGTGCCTACACCTAAATAGTAGGGACCTGCTCAGGCTAGCAATCACAATGTGTTGTGGATACCCTCTCCTTTCGCCGAGGTACCATATTACCCTGTATGTATCCCAACCGAAGAGGGATCGGACGACGAACATGACCGCGCCATATGGCTGTCATAAGCCCTGTCACTGCTAGGGTGTCATCGCCCAGGGTATGTATGCACACGCACATCGCACATCATCGGTAGAATGACCATCCAACTTCACAACACCGAATTGATTTCATATCCCGTCACATTCAAATCTCGAGGGCCTTGCTTGATCTTCTTGCAGGTGAATCGACCGAGCTTGGTGCATGGAGATGCAACCTCGGTGGCTGATGTGACAGGTATAGCTGTACAGATACCCACGTGGCGGAGCCACGCGCCGGAAGGACTCGAGGGGGCGTAAGAGCTTGTTCAGTGCATCCACCATTCCCTCCCGCCCCATTCTCATCTCCACGCATACTTGCGAACTTTCCCTTCTCAATGGCCTTCCAAACTCTCAACATGGGCATCTTTGCATTCAAGCGGCTTTTTTTGATCCGCGATTAGGTAGAGAATGTGGTGGGGATTAGGGCAAGGTGACGTTTTCCGCCGCTGAGACGTGGGCATCGGTGAAGCTGACGAGTCGTGTCGCCAGTAGCTAGCAGATGTGCGTTACTCAACGCTCACAGCTTCGGGGGGCGTCTCCTTCGATGAGACGGGCTCACCATGCTCTCCGATGAGCTCGATGCGTGGAGTCTCACTCCTCAGACTTGCTTCCAGTGAGCCGAAAACTTCATTTTACCTGACAGCCCCATTTTATGTGGCATCACCAGATTTACATTAGAACCGTCCGGGCCTTTGATGTGCTCGTTGCCTTGTCCGAGGTCGCTCGAAATCATGTTGCCCTACACTGGAAGCGATTTACGCCGAGCTCTCCCATATGCTATGCAATGCCTCGAGATGCTCATCGATCCTTGCCTTGCACATTCCTTCCACCTGTATGAGCATCTCGTCTAAAATTTGCATCAGTATCGCTCGCTGGACGCTGGGCGGCAGCTAAGCGGCGCCGCGCCACGCATACGCTTGTGGTTTCACGTCGGATCATCCATATCCCTGCGTTTCATAATCATTGAGCGTGAGTAGCACTGTTTTATTTCCCATTCATCGACCCCCAAATTGATATTTTGCATTTCAGGCGGCATGCCCATGTGCATTATAATTTGTTCGTCCTAGCTCTGCGGCTCTCCTTACCGGCTTTGGCGTATTCTAATCCGATTGTGTTCGACAGACACTACTACAATGTTGTACTTTTGAATCAAAGGTGCGTCATTCGCTCAACCCAATCCAAAGGGGGTTGACTGACTTGCATTCACACCAGAATACCTCTTAAGCTATCACATTGTGCCGACGCTATCTAAAGTAGACTACGCCTGAGCTGTAATAAGCACAAGGCCTCCACGTAGTGTAGTGACTGACCTTGCGAGCCCCCAACAGCTGCCAGTGCTTGGTGAGGCATTATCGGGCTTCAGCCACCCGGGGGGTTGTTTGTGACTACCAAATACCGGAGAAAGGCGAATTATTTGTCACATCACTCATTTTATTGTCTCGGCCCGAAGACTTTTCGGCCAATTTTCCGACCCCAGCGCCGCCGCTGCCACCGTCGACGACGACCGCTTCACCCGCTGCTCCCTTTTGCCCAGATATTCTAGCCTACTCTTGCACGCACTCCATGATATGCCCCGCAACCACAATCTGGGCACTTCGACCCTCAGAAATCGCAATCGCGTTACCAACAAGACTCGCCTCAAAGTCGTCCATGGCACCATTGATGCGGACCCCCTGGTGCTCGACGAAGACGAGGAGAAGGCAAGGATTGTCAGTACTGCAGGCGTCGACGCTGAGGATGCCAACGTAAGTCGTCTTTTTGCTCGTCGAGCGTCGTCGCCCGCCCTTGTTGAACTTCCTGACGTGGCGTGCTCTCATTGGCTGAGACCGTGGGAGATCGATTATCGGATGGCTGACTCATTCCCCCTTTTTTCCCACCACAGGAGCATCACTTGCAGGCAGTGCTTTCCGCAGCCTCACAGCGCCACCAATCGGTCGGTCGGCCGACCCGGGGAGGAGCGGCCGAGAAACCCGCCGCTCCTGCCGCCTTCATCCCCACACCAGATTCTAATGGACTGGTCGACAACTATGCCGAGCTGTATCCCCCTGATCGCTGGAGGGACCCAGCGTCGTATATCAAGTCTTCAGAAACCGTCGAAGAGGCCTGCTCCAATGCCCTCATTGATGCGTTCACGTATCTCATGGACGAACGCGACAAGGATTGGCTCGACCGCAATAACGAGGAGGCCAGGGGCGAAGGTACCAGTGCTCAAGGCGCAGTATCCACACCAGGAACTACCACTCGGTCGGGACTGTCTCAAAGAAGTGCAAAGTCAAAGGGCAAAGAACCCGAGTCTGCTCAGCCTGTCGGCATCACCGAGGACGAGTTTGAGCTTGTGATGGGCATATTTGAGAAAGTAACGCATGAAAAGACCGAGTTTCTTCACCATGTAAGCTTCATCTTCTCCACGACGACGAGCGGACGCTGATCCTTTCCCTCAGGGACTCGAATCTGGGATGGCATTCCCGCCGTTCACCGACTATCAAGACACTTTCTCATCACCGCTCGCGCCTTCGACGTTTGCGACGTTCACAGTGCCGTCGTGGATACCACCACCAGCGCAGCTTCTTCGGCTCGCCCGCAGCATCTACCCTCATTGGCGAGAACGCCGGCAGGAAAGGGGAGGACACAGGATCATACCGGTCCTCAATGTGAGTTGGTAATTTTCGCTTTTGATGTCTTGGCTCATCTCTTTTCAGTATGATGAATCGGACGTCACGAACGAGTCCTACATATGTTTCCGGCGTCGTGAAATCAAGGCGATTCGGAAGACACGCGCTTCACAGGCAACATCGTCAGATAAACTTATACGCTTGCAAGCCGAGCTCGTACAATCAATGGAGCTCGCAAAAATGCTACTGTCTCGCGAGACAATGAAACAAGATTCGGTTCAGCAGGCACTACAAGTCTGCGAGAAGCGCTTAGAGTTCGTTGACCTGAAGCGGAAATTCCCATCTTTGGGCGTCAAGGAAGACGACGAGCTGCTTTACGACAAGGAGAGGGCTGTGAAGAAGATCAAAGTCGAAGCCAACGGGTTCGCTCATTGTCACATATTGTAAACTATGACGCTGACGGAAGCATTACAGGCGGCTTGGTATCAAGCTACGGACGGGAGGCAATGGCGATCCTGGATCCCCTGCATTGCCCGTGGAGATCGCCATTCGCCCCAAGGAACGTCTAAGCATGATTTCTGCAGCTATGGATAGGGACCTCCTCCGCAAGAAAGAGCGTGATCATGGCTATGAAGACGTGACGGAGGTGAGCTTTAGCTTGCTTAGTAGTCGCTCAATCTGACTTGAATCACGTCACAGAATGCATATCAAAGACCTGCATTTCCCACCCACCGACGTCTCTGGAAAGCTATCCATTCATCGCGAACGTCAGCATCTCCGCCACTCGATGAAGAGGGTGACATGGACAGCGACTCTCATGTTCGCTACCTTCGCCTTCGCCACACTCGGACTGGCGGTGCCGCTGTCGATCGACGGGACGCATTTTTGCAACGGCTTGGGATCCGCGTTGATGATGCAACTGTGCCCCAGCGAAGGGACGCATTTACGCGACGCCTGGAAGAACTTGTCACTGACGAGGATGAGGAGCACCGATCGAGGCTGCGTGAAAGGTGGAAGTTTGATCAAGACGACGACCCTGTAATCGCTCCCGAGGGGTCTGAGGAGCAGGACCGTCTTCTCGTCGACGACTACGATACAAAGTTGGTATAGGCCCATCATATCGTGACAGCAGCGCTAACATGAAGCTCAGGTACCTCCGCCACATGATGACGCTTCTCACCGATCAGGATCAGCAGTACATTAACAATGATCCTACGCTGATTTTCGTCACACCTGAGGGTCGCCAACAGCCCGTCGTGCCCTTTCGGACTGGCACACAGCAACCATACGTTCGCCGGGATCTTCAAGCCGCGCAGAGGGTATACACCCCTGGAGTTGTTCCACAGATCGCAGCATCACGGCCAGTCAATGGTATGCCGCTCCCATCCTTACCGAACGGCGTCCCGATTGCCATGCAAGCGCATATGAAGGCCATGCAACCACCTTCGGCTATCCCGCACATGCGCATATCCTCGAATGGGGGTATGCGTCCCCCCGTTCTTGCGAATGTGACGACTCCCGCCTCACAACAGTCGTCACCTCCTCGTACACCGAGTACCCCCACAGGCGGCGGAGTGAACGGCACCCTTCCGGTGGCTGACGGCGATACGGTGAAGCTGACCTCAAACGTCAACGGAGTATCCCACAACAACACCACTCCGCAGGCTGCGCAACAGCCCACCAATGAGGTGAACCTATCTCCTTTGGATGGTGTGCAGCAAGCGCAACAGCAAGCAGGATCCCCTGCTCGGCCAAAGTCGGATGCTCAGCACGCAGGCGTTGTCGCTGCGAACGGCTACCACGTCACTATGAATGGCTATCCCACCATGACAAACGGTACCGCGTACGCGCACTCGCGGCAGCACAGTGGATTGCCTATGCAGCACATGCAGAATATGCAGAACGTGAAGATGGTGTTTGCACCAGGACAGGACATTACTGCGATGCACGCCAATCAGGGACGACCTCTGTCCACTCCATATATGGGGCACGTTGTCCCTGCTGGGGCCCACTTCAACATGCAGTTGAGCGCCGGCGCGAATGTAAACCTGAAGCTTCCAGCAGGACGCCAATGGGCA